AAACGTGGCTAACTGCGTTTATAAGCGTTTGGATATATTTTTTTTAACTCTTCCATTTCCAGATGCTGTCCAGAGCCTTTTTTCATCATGAAAAATGCATGCAAAGCGTTTTCCTGGTACTCAAATGGACCTGGTACACCATACTTTGAGGTTTTGCATGAAAGAAAATATGTTAGACACTGCTGCAATAATTTCTGCACAAAAATTAGCTGGAACACATCCAAACACCACAAAAAAAAGGACAGCTAATCTCAACAAATACTACTCTCTCTGCTTCTGCTCTCTCTATTTCTCTCAAGATGTCTGAAATAATTAATTTTTTACTGTGTTTCAGTGCATTCTGGAAGGTCTCCTGAGGTTATCTTTAAAAAACGCTTGTAAATGCAAACATTCATAAATGCCTATATATGCGTTATGCAAACACGGCTAAACAGATGTTTTTTAACCTATGTTTTCCAGCAGTCAGTTTCCATAGTTTAGAAGTGTTTTCCAAACATCGCGTGTACATGGAGCCTTAAGTAACAAAAGTGGACAATGCTTGCATAATGTGTGTTGAAATGGTCACATGCATGCAAAGCACATGTGAGAAAATAACAACACAGGAGAACAACTGGGAGACAGAACAGAGAGTTGTTACCCTAAAACAAGTTGTTGAAAAAGGACTTTCACCAAGTATTATTATAATCAAAGCTGTAGATTTAAAAATATTGAAAATTAATTCCAAAACTACATTAACATGATAAAACCTATGAGATTTTAGTGACTGGAATGACAGCTACTTTAAGACTGCACAGGCTACAATGCAGCATTATCAGTAAATGGTAAAAATCAAAGATCTCCCCCTGGTAGAGAAAATAATTTTGAAAAACACTAAGAATGCAGATAGGAGAAAACTTGGTGGTTGTACAGTTTTAATCCACACTGAAATGCCCACTACACATGTAAATATACAATAAAGATTTCAAACATTTTAGTTTATTCTAGTGCTTTTCATTCTGCTACAGCACCATGTGCAAAGGTTATAGAATAACCTTGCTGTGCATTCCTCTACCTACTGCATGCTCCTGGTAATTATATGCATTTTCAAACAGCCAATCAGCTGTCAGCCTGACAGATACTGATCTTTTTTATTTTTAGCTCTGTGCTTCCCCCTCTAGATGCAAAAAAATTGTGTTTTTTCCGTTCACTCAGCACAGCCTTTCTCTCAGTGATACACTGGCTTCTCAAGCCTGCAAGGTTGTGGGAAGCTGAAAAAAGACTATCAACTATTTCTGAAAAAAAAGGGTGAAATGCTGTGATGCTAAAATAAGACTCAACAACAATTAACAAAAAATATAGCAGCCGGAATATAATTAAAAAAAGGTTGATTGCTGAAAGCTAATACATTTTTTTCATTGTGTTTGTGGTTGTGAAGATAGTTTTACTATAAAAACTGACTGATTCAGGGAATGTGGCATTCTTGTAGAGCCAAGAGATCAATGTTATGATGTTCTAGAGTTGTGACCATTCTCTGCAAAAGATGAGCTGATCATTAGGGTTTATATAAGAGTAATGATACTTTAACTGCGCTCCTGCTATGAATGCATCACACTAGGTCACATGGAAATGTCAATGTCCGATCAAGCATTCGGCAGTTGTAGCAAGGATGGGCTCTCTTTGCACATGGTAGCATAGTAAAGGCTTCTAGAAAAAGTAGGTATTCACATGTCTCATTCCATCACATATTCCATGAATAAAAGAATTGCTGTATGTACAATTTGAGGACAGGGGTGGAGCTATGCAGATAACTATTTTACACCCCAAGTGCACATCCAGAACTGATGGTATATAATGCCAATATAGCCTAATATTTTGGAGCCATCTATTCCAAACTGAATACAGCTGTTTCAGGCTTTTTTGACCATCATTGTTTCTGTATAGAAATCATGACTTCTATGGAAATAACATTTTTTTATATTTAATTTATATAGCGCTGACAATTTACGCAGCGCTTTACACATGTAGTGTACAGCCACATCAGTCCCTATCTTACATTTATACATACACATACTGGGTCCAATTTTGACAGGAGCCAATTAACCTACCAGTTTTCCCTCACATGAGTGTGGGAGGACACTGGAGTACCTGGAGGAAACCTTTGCAGGTACAGGAAGAACATGCAAACTCTGTGCAAGTATTGCCATGGTTGGGATTTGAACCAACGACCCTAGAGCTGCTAAGTGGAAGTGCTAAGCAACTGGTCACTGTGCTGCCCAATTAGAGTATATTTTTTAAGACACAGCAGCAGGTCTATTGGAATGTAAAGGAAAGTTTCTCTTATTTATGAGTTGCTATACACTGATTTCAGCTGGAAGGCTTTTTGATTTGCTGGCCTCTGCACTTCCCTGTGTGACAGGTTCAGTAGGCAGGAAACTCTGGTCCTGTATCTCACCATAATCTTTATGGTTGTACTGTCTCATTGGGTGCCAAACTCTAATTTATAGAAGCCATGTGGAATTATTTATTGCATTTGGAGGGCACAAAATTTGGTGCAGCTCTGCAAAGAAACCAATCAGCTTCCACATTTTATTACAAAAGCTTAATTGAACAAACTGAAGTAAACAGCTGATTGGCTACCATGCACAGCTGCAACAGATTCTGAGTGCTCTAGTTTTAGTAAATCTATCCATGGTGTCCATACACTAGTAGTATGGAAATGGTTGATTTTCCGCTTTTGACTTAGATTAAGTGTTTGAGTCAGACGTTAAAAGGTAGTAAGCACCAGAACATCTTGGCCTGGTGGTATATCCCAAACATTGCATGCTGCTATTGGGATTTAGAAGTAATCCATGGAAGAGACAAATTTCCTGTTTGCCTTCCAGGCTTCGATGTACCAGAGTATGCACACATCAAGAATATGGTGCAGTTCTTGTGGACCAAAGGTTATGGAAGTGAAAAGGATATGGTGTTGCTTGTGCAAAGGAAGTTTTGGATTTGATTTATCTGAGACAGAGGGTCTCTGACATTGTGTTGGTTGTGGAAGGAATTTATAAGGACTTGCTTTCCATGGCTAAGAGGAGTTGTGTGGACAAATGTTTGGAAGAAGTGAAGAGAGTAAGACAAAACCCCCAAAATACTTCATATACATTAATATTAGCAAAGTCAGGTCTGAATATGTAGGACCTTTACAAAATAATTTAAAGTTGGTGACTGGGGACAAAGGGCAAGCAAATATATTAAATACATTCATCAGCTTTATGTATAATAAGGAAAATGGGGACAGTCAAGTTCATAATGGGGATAGTACTGACATAGCCCCAAACTAACCCCAATGGCTCAAAACTGATACGGTTCAGACACATTTAAACAAAATTAGGGTGAATAAAGCCCCTGGACCAGATGGTTTACACCAGGGGTGGGCAAACTTTTTGACTTGAGGGCCGCAATGGGTTCATATATTGGACCCGGGGGCCGGACCAAGAGTAGATGAATGATGTGTATGTGTCATCCATAGTAAGTATAGTAATATTCCCCCATAGTAAGCATAGTAATTAATCCCCCATATAGTAATTCATCCCCCCTATAGTAATTAATCCCCCATATAGTAATTCATCCCCCATAGTATTTCATACCCCATAGTAATTCATCCCCCATATAGTAATGCGTCCCCTATATAGTAATTCGTCCCCCATAGAGTAATTCACCCCCCCTATAGTAATTCATCCCCCCTATAGTAATTCATCCCCCATAGTAATTCATCCCCCATATAGTAATTCATCCCCCCTATAGTAATTCATCCCCCCTATAGTAATTCATCCCTCATATAGTAATTCATCCCCCATATAGTAATTCATCCCCCCTATAGTAATTCATCCCCCATATAGTAATTCATCCCTCATATAGTAATTCATCCCCCATAGTAATTCATCCCCCATATAGTAATTCATCCCCCCTATAGTAATTCATCCCCCATATAGTAATTCATCCCCCATATAGTAATTCATCCCCCATATAGTAATTCATCCCCCCTATAGTAATTCATCCCCCATATAGTAATTCATCCCTCATATAGTAATTCATCCCCCATAGTAATTCATCCCCCATAGTAATTCATCCCCCATATAGTAATTCATCCCCCCTATAGTAATTCATCCCCCATAGTAATTCATCCCCCCTATAGTAATTCATCCCCCCTATAGTAATTCATCCCCCCTATTAATTCATTCCCCATATTAAGTCCCCAAGTCCCCCCTGTGTCAATTCACTTACCTTTGCGTTCCTCTCGCCGTGTTCCCGCGCCGTTCCAGTGTAGCATGAAAATCTGTCTCCTATGAGGATCTGCCCCCCTCGACGTATCTGCGCATGTGCCAGTTTCAGGCATTAGCAGCCGATCGGCGATCTCCGGCACATGCGCAGATATGTCGAGGGGGACAGATCCTCACAGGAGACAGATTTTCATGCTGCACCGGTCTTCAGGGCGGACTGTGAGAGGAGCCTAGCTCCGCGGGCCGGATTAAAAGGTCCGCCGGGCCGTATACGGCCCGCGGGCCGTAGTTTGCCCATTGCTGGTTTACACTCACATGTCCACAAAGAGTTGAGCTCTGTTATTTCAAAGCCATTGTTTGTAATGTTTAGAGACTGGTGCAAGGTTAATGTGGTGCATATATTTAAAAAGGGGATCAAATTCTTTACCAAGTAACTATAGACCTGTTAGTTTAACTTCTATAGAACATTTCTGCTAGAAAACAATATTTTAAGCATGGATCAATCAAAGGATCAAATTGTTAAAATCTTTCCTTTTAGGAGGAAGTAAGTGAAAACTCAAAGGAGCTGTGGATATAGCATATATGGACTTTCAAATGCATTTGACACAGTTCTCCACACAAGGCTAATGTGTAAGTTAAAGAATATGTAAACCCTCACCTTGTAAAACAACCCATTTAGTTTAAAATAGATATAAAAGGCAAAACATTTACCGTATTTTTCGCTCCATAAGAAGCACCTGACCATAAGACACACCTAGGAAAACAAGAAAAAAAATATTCTGAACCGATGGACTGCAGACATAGTACAGGAAATAACCAGAGACTGCAGACATAGTACAGGAGATGACCAGAGACAGCAGACATACTACAGATGACCAGAGACTGCGGACATAGTACAGGAGATGACCAGAGACTGCGGACACAGTACAGGGGATGACCAGAGACTGCAGACATACTACAGGAGATGACCAGAGACAGCAGACATACTACAGATGACCAGAGACTGCGGACATAGTACAGGAGATGACCAGAGACTGCGGACATACTACAGGAGATGACCAGAGACTGCAGACATACTACAGGAGATGACCAGAGACTGCAGACATAGTAGAGGAGATAACCAGAGACTGCGGACACAGTACAGGAGATGACCAGAGACTGCAGACATAGTAGAGGAGATGACCAGAGACTGCAGACATAGTAGAGGAGATAACCAGAGACTGCAGACATAGTACAGGAAATGAGCAGAGACCTTTGGGAGCGGGTACCCGAATTTGACAGGTACCTGCTCCCACTTTCGCTGCAATTGCCTAGGCGATCGGAAGCGGACATTGTCCTCCCTCCCCATAGTCTTCTGGGACACGTGACAGGTCACAGAAGACTATGGGGCCATTCACAAAGCACAGCGCTTCTCGCACTTGCGCAGTGGGCAGCCGGCTGTGAAGCCGCAAGCTGTCACAGCCGGGTGCCCACACTAAAAAATGCCAGCACCAGGGAGAGAAGACGGCTGGTGAAACCAGCGGTGGTGAGGACACCGCTGGACCGAGGAACAGGTAAGTGGCTGTATTTTAAAAGTCACCAGCTACAGTTTTTGTAGCTGCTGACTTTTTTTTTTCAGCTGGAACTACATGTTAAGGGGCAGCTGCTTCTGGCTCTGCCTGGTGCTGCCACAGAAGAGCCGAGTGGCTGGCCTGGTATTCTAACACCTCGGCGGCAACGGGGGGAATATCGGGCTGGTCACTCCATATTCGCTCCATAAGACGCACAGACATTTTCCCCCATTTTTTTGGGGGAAAAAAGTGCATCTTATGGAACGAAAAATACAGTATGTATACATTTAAAAAAAAAAAACATTCTAAATACAATTTTCCCACTCTTTAATAAGTGATCATATTCCCTTTTCAGCTGCATAAGAGCTGGTGGAGGAGAAACAACAGCACACTGAATTTCCCAGTTAATGGCTAATGGTTAATGGTATGTCAGCACAAGCCTAATCCCTGGATTAGCTCCCAGCACAGCTAGAAAACTGATCACACTGTGCTCTCCTGCCTAGTGTGATCAGTTTTTAATAAGAAAGCAGAGGACTGGCAGAAACACCAGAGATTTCACACGAAACAATTTAATTTGTAAAAGGATAGAAAAATGGCTAAAAGACTGTATTCAGAGAGTAGTGGTTAATGACTTCTGAATGGTCTAAGGTTATTAGTTGTGTACCCCAAGGTTCAGAGTTAGGACTCTTACTTGTGGCAAATGAGACTAGATTGTTCATAAATGTAAAATTATGCACTTATGGGCTAAAAACATGCATGTATCATACATCCTAAGAGAAGTACAACTGGGGGAGTCAATGAGCGAGAAGGACCTGGGTGGTCTGGTAGATCATAGACCTAATAATAGCATGCAGTGCTAAGCTGCAGTGTCTAAAACAAGCAAAATACTTTCTTTTTATTTAAATAAGTTTTTATTGAGATTTTAAAGAGTACAAATACCTTCAAGTGCAGGGAAACAAAAGAAAGAGGATGAGAACAGGGTTGCCTCGCAGGGCAGGTATCCACATACATCACATTGCAATACAGAGCACTAAAAGTAATAGAAACATCAACAGACTATTGTTGGTACCAAGCTAACCATGGTTGCCATGCTTTTTAAAAGGACTTCTGTGAACCCATTCTGATAGCTATTAGTCTTTCAAAAGAGTAATGAAGCCAGGTAGTGGCTATAACCTCAGACAGCTAAGGGGCCAGTTCTCCTTTCCAGTGTCTTGTGATGGTGAATTTGACCGCCAGTAGGATGCTAGATACTATTTTACAGTAATCTGGTGGAAAATGATCAATGCCTAGAGTTAGGATGGCTAATGCTGGTTCTGGGGTAGTACGAATTCCAGAGACACTGGAGAGAAGCTGGAACACACTTCTCCAGGAGCTATGGAGGTTTTTGCAAACCCAGAAAATGTGGAAGAGATTACCAACCTGGCAACATCCTCACCAGCATATGGGGGAATTGCCCGAGGAAAATTGGGCAACGCAATATAGGGTAATGTACCATTGGGTGGTAATTTTTTTGCGTGTGTTTCCAATGATTAGCACAGTGAAATATGGCATATGAACAGCAAAGAGCTGTTGTCCACTGGGATATAGTATACGATACGTGCAGATCAGCTTCCCATGCTTGGATAGGGGAGGTATTAAAAAATGTTTGCTTGTCTTGTAAGACCTTGTAAAAGAATGAAATGCCTTTGGAGGGTGTAGAGGATTATTCATAGAATTTCCATATGTTGGTGGAAAATTTTGATGGTCAGGAGAGGGGAGGTGAGTAAGAAAAGTCTAATGGATGTTAGTTGAAAGAATTCGGTGTTGGGGATCTTGTATTCTACCTGCAAAACCTCCATGCTCTTAAGTTTGTTGCCAGTGTAGACATTTTCTACCCAACATAGACTGTATTTATACCACAGGGATGTTTGACTCCTATAGCCCGCCTGGGACATGTAGTTCCAGGTGCCGTGCAGGTAGTTTTTTTTTATCTTTAGCCCTGCTGCGGGCAAGCAGTGGGCTCACCTGGGAGGGGGAAGCATTCGGGCGGTAGCGCTGCCACCCGATTGCTTCCACACAGTGCCAGTCCCCCCCGTGAGGTCTCCCGGGCTCTGTTTGCCCATCTGCTGGCCCCCCAATCCCTCTCCCAGCACAAATCATCTACCATTCCCTTCACCCCCCCCCCCAATTCTCTCAGTACAAATTCTCTTATCCCACCCACAACCCCCCACATAAATCCTTCTACCCCAACCCCTCCTTCTTATACAAATCCTCCCCTGAATCCCCCCTCCAAGCAAAGAACCTATGCTCAACCTACCAAATCTCCTCTCCTCTTTCTAGTACAAATGCTACCATAAATCCTCTTAATACCCCCCAAATTCCCACTTCCAAGTATAAATCTTTCAACTTCCCCTCCAACCCCTCCTTCTAGCATGAATCCACTTACACCCTCTCCCTTCCAAGAATAGTTCCAAGTACTGATCCTTCCCAAATACCCACCCAGTACTTACCCCCCCCCCCCACCCCCACCCAAACCTTACATCCACAGACACTCCCCTCTCTTGTTCAGTCTCCTTCTCCTCTATACAATGCCATTTTCCTCTCTGGTCATTCTTTCTATCCATGCCTACTCTACCTCTCTTTATGATATTTCTCCACATTCCTTCTCTCCTTTACATTTGTTCTTCTATCGATCCAAGTTCACTGTCTTTTCCTCCATAAAGACCTTAGACTGTGTATGCAGCGCAGCTCATTGTCTAGGTGGGAGATATTCTTCCTCCCAGGCTCCTCCTCATGTTCTCTCAGAAGGCACATAAGAGCTGAGAAGGAACTTAAGGGCAGCTTCCCCAATTCTATCTGACAAGTGTGACGAGAGAATATAGGTGCTGGCAATCGAAGCAGGGCAGCGTCTGAATGCCCGGTGCTAGTGATGCTACTGCCCCCCACATTACACCAGCTGAACCTCAGGCATGAGCCCTCTCTGATCCCCTCTTGTGCCAGCCCTGCCTGTACAAATCATTAGTAATACTTCATCTAGAATATGCAGTTCAGTTTTGGGCACCAGTTCACAATATTGGGGAGTGCAAAGAAGGGCAACCAAAATGATAAAAGGCATGGAGGAACTCAGTTCCTCCCAGCCTGTTAAGAAGTTTCAGACGCCGGGAGGTGGAGGCAGGCGTTTCAGTCATGTGAACGGCGTGATTGGCTGCCGTGATTTGGTATGCGTATATGCGGCGTCTAGATGCTAAGGCCCACCCACCGAGAAGCTGCATATATATGTACAGCCGGCTGAAAGAGGTTAACGTTTATAAGTAACAACACCAATGATTGCTGAACAAGGGATTTTTGATTGCCTTCTGGGGAATCGGGAAGAAATGTTTTTCTCTCCACTGAAGCATATTGGACCATCTTTTATAGGACTTTTTACTTCCTCTGAATTAACAGTGAGTAGAAGATTCTATATATGGTGGTTTTCTGTTTATTTACTCTATTTATTTTTTTCTGTTGGTTGAACTAGATGAACTTGCACCTTTTTTTAACTTGACTAGCTATATAACTATGTAAGAGTATTCCGCATTACAGTGTAAGGAAGGAACTGTTGTGGTGGTAAATTTGTACTTATTCTATGTGCAAGTAGAGGACATTGCCCTTTTCTTAAAGGGTTTTGCTCAAATGGGAGATATGTGGGCAAAATGTAGAAAGAGTTTGGCATATGGACTGGTAAACATTAGCTTGTTGTAAATGTTAAGGAATGTTTCCAAGATCATAAGGGACAATTAACACTGTATCAATTAATTTAAATAATTAAACGTCCTGCATAAAAGAGAATGGCATAGAAGAGGGGTACTACTTAGTCTGACAAAAGTTTTACACTAATAGTAACTTCCTACAAAGTGCCTGTTTATATATCTAAATTGCAAATTAGCAGAAGTGCTGTAGTGCACTGATTCTTCAGCAAGAGGTACATGCTGACAGACTAATTTGTCCCGTTTGATTTATCCACAGATTCCCTTTAAACTTGACCCTCTTTTAAATTCTGATCTAGCAGAGTGCAACCTGCTAGCTGCACACCCTTTTCTGAACTTGACCCCTCTTCTTGATTGTTATCTAGCATTGTTTGTCTTTGATTCCTTCCTCCTGTAGTGATTCATTGTTTGGCTTTCCACTGACAATTTGTAAACTTGCAATTGTGCACACAGCTTGAGGCAGTCATGTACCAAGCAAGGAAGAGTATTTTTACTAGGAATACAGGTCTAAAATATGTATCACTGCTAAAAATTTGATTTTGTAAAAAAAAAGTGTACCTCCGCAAAGTAACTTTATCCTCAGCTGAGAGTTGATGTGAGAGTAAGAGGCAGAGGGAAGAAAGTTCACTGATGCCGAAACTCAAAACAATTCATTGTTAGTGAGCAGAGGTGGTGGGGGGACAGAGTGGGTGAGCTGAGACCCCTAACACTGTTCTCAGTTGTTGGTTGTGTTTTTGCATATGCCATTGTGGTGGGTGATTCTGCAGTAAGTGCTCCATTTTGTACAGTGGTATTACAACAAAAAGTATTAACTTTGATTTCTAATTGCAAATTACATGACAGGGATAGTTTGACAATCCAAACTGACTATAAGTACAGGTCTTGCTATTAGCATTTACAGTATTACATTGAACCAGTGTATAGTGTTGGGACTCGCTAAATGATTAAATCAGACTAAATTACTAATTAGCTTGAGTTTTATCAGGCAGGACAGAAAACAAGCTTAGCAAATAAAGACAATTCTAGTAGGAAGTAAAGGAAATAATCTCTTTTCAGGATTGAAAATTTAGAGTTTTAGATAGAAAAAATATTTTCTTAACCTTCTTTCCATTATGAAGTGAAATATTTGAAGTGAAATCCCACATCTGCTACTGTAAACTCTGGCCAAATCAGATATCATTTAGCTTTGAATGCTTGGTAGCAAGTTGACATGCTTTCTTTAATATCCCTTAGATACTT